TTTTTCTGTCTTACTTGAGTAAAAGCTCCGTTTTATTTTTTGTAATTTAATCGTTTTTTCATAACTTAATCGTTTATTCGTAATTCATTCGTTTATTAATAGTTTACTAGTAATTTATTCGTTTTTGTCGTAATTTATTCGTTTTTTGTCGTAATATATTCGTTTTTTATTCGTAATTCATTCGTTTTTTTCGCTGTATGCGGCAACCGTTTGCTGTAGTTAAATTCCTCGTTTTCACTATATGATTACCAAGCAACTCAGATTAATTACACAGTTCAAACCAAAGGCTTTACTATTAAAGACTATAATCTTCTAAACAATACAACTGTCCTCTTTTGTTAGGATCTCTTTCAAATTGAATAACACGCTGCCTGCCTGAGTAAGTGGTGTCAAGAACCAGTATTACGATCATACATCCACTTGTTCCGAGGCAATATTGACAGTCTCAACGGACATTGAATTATTTCGAAACCTTTATGACTTGAGATAGAAAGAGAGAAAAAATGAGTACGAAGCATGTACACAAAACACAGTGTCACATCACTTCGATTATCCCATTACGCGTAAGTAAGCATAGGGCTGAGATCAGGGCCTTACACAGTCACACAGGGGTTAAAATATTTCCCTATCATCGTCCATTAATCAAACAAACGTTTATTCTCCTAAATAACAACCAGAAAGGCTGCCAAGGGCCTTCGTTTACATTTCATTTTTTAGGTCACCCGATCACGTACCGCTTTGCAATGAATCCGTTGCCTGGCACAAGCACTATATCTAAAAGAATGATGAAAGAACACGCGCACGAGGCCCATTCTTTACCGTGTCAATAGGTAATTATACCATAGTAATGTAGCACCTAGGAACCTAGATAATATGATCTCTCACATGATCCATTGACGTCCGACGAGAAATGACATTATGGGGGAGCGGGGGGAATGGAGGGAGCGGGGGGAATGGAGGGGGGTTCCGGGGAAAACATATCGGGTTTGCTCGTCGGACATTTTCAAAAATACCCCTTAAAGATACCAGAATTCTTTTAAAAAAAGGGCTTTGTTGGACGACTTTTTACCCCTAAGAAATACGTACCCTAAAAGATACCAAGAAGTGACGAAATTCTAAATTTTAATTTGAACACCATAAAAGATACTAAATCGATGATTTCTACTCTTGAGAGATACGACGAGCATACCCGATACTTTTACGCCGCACTTTCCCCCACCCCCACCCCGGCATGACATCATACTTGCTCCGATCGATTGCCGGCATGCTATGTGGCAAACGGAAAAGAATAGGTTTAATAAATAGACGTCATTTCTGTCTGTGTACCAGTTGAATGTCACACAGGGAGGGAAGGGGATGGCATGGCCCCGTTGCCCCCCCCCCCCCCCCCCCCCCCCCCCCCCCTCCTGCTCACGCCCCTTAATAGAATACTCTCTGGTTGATTGCATTTGACGTGCAGCTTGCTATTTAGGCTTCTGGTAATGAGAATCATTCCGCTAATTGATACCAAGCAATAGAATAGTCTCTGGTTGATAGCACATGATGGGCAGCGTTTGCCTGTCATTGTAGGCTGGTAATAAGATTCATGAGATTCATTCAGTTGATTGATACCCAAAATGAATACTGTCTGGTTTTTAGCACATGATTGGCAGTGTTTGCCTATAAAATTTTGTCTCGTAGTGCACTTCGATATTTAAAAATTAGACTCGCAGACCAAATGGTAAATGATTCAATAACCCATGAGGCCGTAATTGAATGGGCTATTGTCTCGTAGACCATGAGGGCGTGAGGTCAAATGTCTTAAACCTACTAATTGGTCAAATAAATGGATACAGATATGCATCTAAGATGGCGTCGATATTTCGTCCACGGATATTACGTCCCCTAAAACAGACCCACAATGCACTACAATGCCGACTCGACCCAGTTTTTACTTCAACCTCGGAATGGCTAACAATAGCACAGCTGAATTGTAGTACGCCTAATAGCCCTTCCCCCTCCCTCCCCCTCCCTCTCCCTCCTCTTCCCAAAGAAAATACCTTTGGAGCGCCTTCATGCACACAAGCGGGATGCGTATGGTATATACCAATCTAGAGGTCGAAAGATGCTTTTCATTTGGGTAGAACTGTGTTCTTACTTATTTCACTAACCCCTCTTTTTCAACTGATCTGCTGATGCATATTTAGATGAGTGCAAATTTAATCAAAAGAAATGATAAAACTGAAGTTTAGCCGAATACAGGCAATAGAATATAACCTAGTTTGAACAGGGAAAACTTTACATTCGTAGTAATAACACGAGCCATTGAATGGGCTGCCAGACACATCCCTACCCACCCCATCCCAAAACCATCTTTTGCGTAATTCAATATCGGGCCATAATGAAGCACGCGTTCCCAAAAACGAACCGACGGATCGACCAAAGGCCATAATGTGCGTGGGATGGATCAAATTGTCTCATCCATTCTTATCTCGATCCTTATCAACGTAGATCTAGCTTTCATGGCTGTAGACCAGGGATCTTAAACTGTTGAGTTGAAGGTTGTTAGTGAATGCAAGTAATAATAACGGAAGTTGCATTTAGTTCTCGTCATTATTGCTAAAAGGCAAATATATATTTTAACACATATTGTGCAAAATTTAGAATTTAAACCCACAGAAATTTGAGTACAAGTGAGAAAGTCGAGAAAACAATTTTATTTGGTTGTTTTCTAACAAAGTCATTTAAATCCATCCATCTATCCATCCCTCCCTCCCTCCCTCCCTCCCTCCCTCCTTCCCTCCCTCCCTCCCTCCCTCCCTCCTTCCCTCCCTCCGTTTGTACCGTTTGAATGTTATAATTTGTTCTGCATGTGCTCCACAGGAGGCCCACTTCAATAACGCCATCTTTTCTCTCTTTTTCATTTCATTTCTGTTTCGCGGGATTCTTTCCCTGATTTCTTCCCATCTTTTTTCGTTTTTTCTGCTAAAGCGAGATAACCTTGCCGAGGTCTGCAGTGACCCAGCTGACAAGCTTTCTCACGTGTTTCACGGATAATAACATCAATTAACAAGGCATCACTTTAGCATAATTGTTTTCTGCTGCTTTTCCCTTCAGGGCAAATTAGCTATGAATGAGCAGAGAATGCTCTGCTTTTGCTAACTGTAAGTTAAGTCTTATGATAAAACTATTATGTTTACAAATTGCTATCACATCTTTTTTACAAAACAAATTTAAACTGTTTTTAAATTTCTGTGAGGTTAGCAGTAGATTGAGGAAAAAAAACTTGAAGCAAAGTCTAATTCTAATTTTCGGTGGATCTCTTTAGCTTAATATGAAAGCATTGGTCTCTTTTGTAGCAATTTTGAGTGGAGTTAATTGCGTTTAGAAGAGAGAGAGAGAGAGAGAGAGAGAGAGAGAGAGAGAGAAACTCGAGAAGTATACAAAACACTGCATGAGACAAGCTATAAATTCACATGAAACCTTAGTTTTACACAGCCTATATCAATTTTTTATCTACGGATTTTCAGTAAGGTGTTTTAGAATAATGCACCAGTTTTTCTCTCATTTAATTTATAAAACGATTTCAAAGGACATTGAAGACAAAAGAAACGCCGTGTTAACAATAACAAGATCTGCTTGGAGTCTTAGAAAACTTGATATAACGTGTTTTATAGACGAGACATCAAGTGAAGTGTATAGCTAGAATCTTTTATTTAAATAACAAAAAGAACAGCGAAGGAAAATACCACGTGTAGAGCTCTGTATTGCTTAGCATTGATTTAAAGTAGTTTCGCCTCAAGCTAGGCACAAAGAGAGAAAGAGGGGAGCTTTTGCCGAGGTGTTAAACGACAAAAAATTAGATAAAAACACTGGTAATGAATAATCAATTCGAATTGATATTTTGATTGGAATATTCTATTATTTTTCTCACACAAAGAAGAATAGTTTTTCTCAATTTCTTTCGTGTGTCTGGTGGATATAGTTATCCTCCGCACTCACTGGATGAAAATTTACAAAATGAAATCAGTCGGTGGAAATTTTTGTATTATTTGTCATTTAATAGTGATGATCATTCTACATTTGCCAAGTCCTAAAGATCTCTTTTGACCCTTCACCCATCAACGAATGTCACTAGTCATTGTTCTCTCCACCAATCACTCATCCTTTGTGTGGCTGTTTAGCATTCATAAATGGAGTAGTTTGGGAAAAGAGTTTAGCTTGTTCTTGTGAGAGGCCTACACCTGTTGGCTGTCTGATTCCAATCGTGTGTCTTGTCATTAAACGTTTCCGGAAAGGAAGATAGACTCTATCCTTAGTTGAAATAGCCAAGTTTAGCGAGTCATAATTGAGCTTCGAGTCCTTCAAAAACATAATCAAAATTTTGCAATAAGCTCTTTGGATTTGAACGAATCATGGCATCACAGAGCCATGGCCTTGCACAGCAAGACCACGAATTGTCCGATCTACAGATCTACTGCTACGAGAGACCCCGGAGAATAAAAATCAAAAAATCATATAAAGAATTCGCTTCGGACGAGGAAAATTCTGAAATGGGGATAGGTGCTGAGGATATCAAGAAAAGGCGAACTAAAGGTAAGTAGAATGAAAAAGAAATATTCTTTTAAAACGTAGTTTATCGAAGGCAATCCCCAACAGCTGGTCAGTTTTTAACAAACTTTCTTTTTTACAATGGCCACTATATAACTCGATCTAAGAATTAAAACTAATTACGAGTCTCATTTGTACAAATAAAGACCTAAAAAGAGCAATTCACTAACTTTGATTTTTTTGAAATTTTGAAATTTCTTTCGTATCCATAGAATAAGAACAGAATATATCAGAAAGAAATCAATACAAGGAAAAAATATATATCAGAGACTTGTGTTGATAAACCGGGATAAAACATATAAAGTTTACTCAAAATGTGTTTAAATTATTCGCCCTATCTTAATATGTTATTCTCATGATCAGTAAAGCGCTAGCTGAAAAACTTTGGAGAAGAAAAATGAAGAAATCTTTTCGGATACTAGGAATATTTCACAGTCCACAACCAAGATATTTTTAAAAAACTTATTGTTCGTCTTAACACGGATTTTCATGATATTATCAACTGGAACAAGACAAAGAAATATAATTATTTTGTTTTTGTATCATTTTACCGGAATTAATTTTCTCTTTTTTGACAAAGTAATAAGAAAAAATTGGAAAAAAATTAATTCTTATCGTAGTGAGAATTCTCTGGAATATGAACTCAGTTAGTAAAAATTCGTGTTGGTTTTCCATTAATGAATTTAAGAAATAATGTTTACCGTAGAGAGAGAATGCCGAGTGGTTGGTGTCACCTCTCTCTCAGAGTAAAACAAAATTACGGTGTTTTTAAAAAACAGCTTGGTAGAAGTTTAACTAGTTCGATATTTAACTGAATAGGCGTAGAAGGACCTAGAGATGAACAGATAAATATCAAGGAACACAAAAAAGAAAGTATACGCTTTTTTATTTTATGTCTGTAGGAACTGGTTTATGAATATTGATATTTATTTTAATCGGGATCTTTTATTTCACTCTTCTAATTTATTTTAGTCTTTTTATTGTCGAAAAAATAGGAATAAATAAAGGAATAGATGGGGGAAGAAAAAAGTGCCAAGGTTAAACAGGCGCTATTAGAATTTTGATTGCTTTGACTCCCTAGAATTTGATGGCTTACAGCTTAGGCCAATGTTACCACAAGCTTACGTTTCCAATACTTATATTTGAAAATGTTACGCAGTAGAGAGTTAAACCGTACATTTTTAACAAGAAAAACAAGCGGTTTATACAAAATCATCATCTCACCAAAAACTTTAATCTTAAAACTAAGGCTTTCAGTATATTTTTATTTTAATCTTTGTAACATCTATTAATAGAATTAAAGGCTTATTTCTTAAAATGAAAAATAGCCGATCAAGGTCATTAAGATGAAACATAGTCAAATTAGTGTTTTGAAATAATTTTCAAACTCCCATATCTCCAGATTTTTGATTTATTTTTGGTTTTACGCTCAGAAAGGAAGTCACAGCTGAGCTAACGAATAGATAATTAATACTTTAGCTTTTGCCTGGAGCCAGAAGGCTTGTTCGAACAATGTATCTTTTAGTAAAAGCAAGTACACAGCTGATGACGAAAACCAAAATATTCAAATGTTTTCTTTGATTACCGTTGAAATAACTTAGTTCAAAACATATTTAGTCTCTTTTTTAAAGGGAAAATAAAAGCTTTTTAAAGAGTAAATAGTGGAATTATTTTTCTGAAAAGAGCTAGGATCTTTTCCAGCGACAAGCGAGGAAAGCGGGTTCAATATGTGATTTCTATCAAAACGTTGAATAATATCTTTGTACGTCGGGCGATATTTCGAAGTCTGCTCTCTTAAGGTAGTTTTGAATAGGTGATAAAAAAAAGCTTTAGATTAAACAAAACCCTTTACGGAGACAAAGGACAAAGAGGACAGTTGGTGATAATCTCTCAAAAATTTTCTATATACCACTTTAATGAAAAAATAGCCGCTGCTTTCATGAAATTAAAGAACCCCTAGTTCTAATATCTCTGATGTAGAGATGTGAAAGATATATCCCTCTTACTTCAACATAAATGTCATCTTAAAATGCAATCGTTGATCGGTCAGTCTGACTCAAGCTTGAAAGCTAAACAAACTTGAAGCGCAAAAAACGCGGAAACGTTCACACTTATCACCCCAAACTCTCCTCAATATCAAGCAATTTCCGAGATACAAATTACACTGAAAATTCTAAATGACCTTACGTATATAAATCTATACTTCACTATTCTATAAGCGTTGGTAATGAGTCTAATTCCAGCTCGAGATGAGAAAATGGTCTTTTCTTATTTCCTCACTGTGTGTTTTATGAATATGGTTCACAGACGAGCGCTTTTTATTTTTATTTTTGTCGATGAAAAGGCGTGTTCAACGAAAAGTATGGCTTCTCGGAAATGTTTTTTAATCGTTATTCATTGTATTCATTACCTCGCAAAAAAGAAAGCCTTTCATTTTATACTTTCGAAAATAAATTTTCGCTCTTTAATTTTTTGGTGTTGGTTAAAAAAAGCATAGTATTTTCTAAACAAGAGCATTAATACTTGAACTAACCATAAGCCTAGAAGCCTACAAATGAAATCTTTTTATTTTTCATCTCTTCCTCGGGTATAGATAGTAACCTATCTATATTCATGAATTTATTTTATGATTTTCGCGGTAATAAATAGGGTCTTAAGAGTACAGTTAAAAACGATAAGATCGCTGCCTCTCTTCCTCTTGGAGTAGTTTGTTTTGAGCCGCTTTCATTTACAATCACAATTACACGATGCTTTACAATTTCCTAAACGACTTTTAATGTACCAAATAGGATATATTCGAACAGAACACATGACAAACTTTTCCTGTATAATTTTATCACTTTACTGAATGATTTATAAGCTTTTAAGATGAAGTAAATATGACATAACACGCCGTCTGTAGCGATGGATTACTGTCTAACAAGGATTTGTGATTTCCACTCACTAACGTTGACATCTTTTCATGAAATATCTACAACTTTGCCTCTTTTTTCTGTAATTATTTTCTCCTTACTACTCGTACTATTAGTATGTTAAACAAACACCATATACTATTAAGAGACATCCAGTTCCGTGTCTTATTGTGCTTTTTCGAAACTGAATCTCTCTAAGTGTAAAGCGTATCTTTTCAAAAATCGCTTAAAAAAACAACAAAACAAAAAACAAGAAAAGATTTAGAAAACATTAAAAGAACTGATAAATCAAAACGAATGTCGCAGGTTTCTCATCGTTTTGCTGCGTATTAAGCCAGCTTCAATTCAACGATTCAACGTTATCTGCTTGAACATTTCCATCTCAGAACTCAGTAAAATCTCAGCCACTGAATTTTCGACTCAGCTGGAAAAAGACTCTATCATATTCTTCGCCATAAAACTGTGTAAAAACAACAAATAATAGCAAACTGACTTAATAATTCGACTTAAAGAAAAATACAATTACCTGCTGTGACTCGAACAGAGAATGAAATTAAATGTTCTGATTAGAATAACGTTTATTTTATAATCAAATAAAACTGACGTCTTTTTTTCTGACCAAAAATATGACAATACAATCACTTGCATTCCCGTTATAAAGCTCTTCCAATTTCTTGCAATACAATACCTTTTTGCTTTGTGATCGTAGCACACCTAATTGCTCCACCTCTTCATACTAGCCTTAGTAAGTATTATTATATATTTCGTGATAATCCTAGTATGAGGGTCTTACGTTGGTAAGCTTAATGGCCCTAATGGATACTTAATAGCTTTTGTTAAAATTAAACATACTAGCTTATTGAAAAATAAAAAATTGAAGACCTTGGAGGTTTGATTGTATTTAATTATATCAACTGATTTTATTTTAACTCTTTAGAATGGAAATGATATTGTAGTAAGATTAGAAGGAGGACACTGTGGAGAGATGACGGAAAAGTGTTTTAGTATAATAATTTTTGGGTTCGGGAATAACTTGACATTTTATATACTTATTTAATATTCCTTCATCAATTCCTTCATCCATCTATCGGTTTATCCATTCTGATTGATCCATCCATCCATGCATCCATGCATCCATCCACCCATCCACCCACCCATCCACTTATTCGATCTTCCATTCATTCCAAATGTTTCAACGTCAATTTGTACAAAGTAACTACAGCTGCTAGCGATATTTTCAACAGGCAATGAAAAACTTATTAAAACCCAAATATTCGTATAACTTATTCATTAGTATGTTTCTTAATCAAATTTATTTTCAAGAGTTATGATTTTGTAAACAGACAACTACTTTTCTTTATTGGATATTCAAAGGGGAACCCCTGACATTTCTACGATATTTAGTTGTTCACGTTTTGATTTAGTCCCGATAGATAAGCATCTAATACCATCCCACATCCGATGTTTATTACTATGGAATTATTTATCCTTACCAAACTGAGCAGATTTCTTTTCATAATAGTGCTGTGATTGGATGATTTGTGTATTCGTGTTTATCATTGGCTACCGGAACTTAAACCTCGAGTCATAAAAAAACTACAGTTTGCTAGTGCTCTGAGATGTTTTTATGAGATAACTGAAACACAGTAAACTATTGCTTTCAGAATCGATTTATTTAGCGATAGAGTGAGCAAAGCTGCTCAAGCTCGTTGTACTCTCTGAACAGGATTGGCGCAAGACGGACTATGTTTACCCAAGCTATCTGTTTAACCACAACTTTTATGGATTTTGCAAAATATCTATTCACCGCTTAGACTATTTTGTCCCATTTTCCAGGCTAATTTGGAACTATGCGAGGTATACACCGAATGAAGAAGCTTAAAGGATATTTTCTTACTCGAGTTTTTCTATTATTCCTTTAGGTTTAGCTTGTCTGATAATGATAACCCATTATTGTATATACTTATTTCAAAAAACGTTGTCTTCGCCAAAGGCGATCTCATAGGCAATGGGAGATAGAAGAAAAGCGATAGGAGATCGATAGCTGGAATGACTTGTGTTTCTGCTTCTTATTCTCGTTAAGAACATGGACCTTAGGGTTGATACTTATTCAACGTTGTTCGTAGTCGAAACCATTTCAATGTCGGGATGACCTACTGCATATCGTCTTTGGCGATGACAACGTTCTTTTGAAACAGGTGTTTTCATTACAAATATTAATGCAACATTTACGAGTTTATTATTGCAGTTCAGTCCTTTCCTTTCCCATTTCGATTCCCTTTCCTTTCCTTTCCTTTTACCTTTTTTTTTTTTGCTTCTATTTCCTCCTGGCCTGATATATATCTCCTATATCATATACCTAATCATACTACGTAATAACAATCTTCAAGTATGCCCGTTAGTACGGGCAGATGGTCTCTAATCACAGATATCTAGAATACCATACCAATGATATTGGCTTAATAGTTTCCAGCCTTGGGCGGTCATCATATCGATATTACTCAACCTCATGGTACTTATTACTGTGCCTTCGCCCTGGGGACTTATTATGCTCTGCACTAATGATGAACAACGTACCGAGGGGACAGGAGTAGAGTAGATATAAAGGAAAGCATAATAATTAGATGGATATTTTCTTTCTTTCTTTCTTTTTTTTTTTTCCTTTTTTCTTTTTTGTACTTTAAGTGGCGTGCCTGCAGCTTCACCAAAAGGGGTGGTAAACGACAAAGGGAGGGTGTGGAGGTTGTGCAGGGTGGTAGGGAATAAGGGGAGAAAAAAAATCAAGTTCTAGCTTATAAACGTTCGTACAGCCCTTCTGCGATATACAACTATTAAACAAAAAAAAAAACGTTGGTAGTCCGAGATCTGAAATGGCGTATTTGAGACTGAACAGGATTTTCTTGCTTTTAAGTTTCACTGGCAAAAATATCACGAACACTTTTTAGACAAAGTCCGTATATGCTTCATATTCTATTCTATAAGCAAACTAGGTTGTTCATCTGTGAATATTTTACATTTTGCTGAGTGCTACTTGGTCTCAGATTTCGGATTTCAGATCTCCGAGCGACAACGTTTATTGAAATAGGTATAAACATGCTTCAGGACGGTGGTAAATCACTTCTGATGACAGCGAGCCTCAAAAATAGTATTGTTTCATGTGGAAACATTCTGTAAGTTTATTTAGACTAAGGTTTAACTTGCATCGCGACACACTAGTTTGCTAAAGAGAAGGCAGGAGACATTGGTTTGTGACTAATTTTGGCCACGCTAGTGGCAAGTTTAATAATCAATAAATGTGTGGGGTGATACCAAATACCAACCCCCCCCCCCCCCCCCTCAAAAAACGATGTCTTCGGCAAAGGCGTGGCGAGAACAAACACGCCAAGCCGGCATTGACTAAAGCGATAATCCAACAAGTAGGCGACAGGGGTGGTGTGGGAAAATTTTTACGATTGATCTTGCTCGACTGAGAGAATAATATAAGAAAGAGGTCGATACTCAGACCTGCATTCAGTACTGTTGTGTAACAGTATATTCAAATGGCATATGTGGATATATATAGTTGGATTAATGGATCTTACAGCGGTAATGCTTTTGGCATGTTTTGCTTTTTGCAAAAGGAAGAATTAAACTCTTGCCACACAAAAGAAAAACAATAGCTCAGTTGACTAACATATGACAGCAGGTCCTCGTATTGAGCAAGTAGAGAGGTAAGAACCACGGTGAGCACTGATATATTTGAAGTGCTTTTAAACAATTGTCGCAAGGATAGCTTAGCCGAATGCCGCATGGTATTGCTTTGCATCAAAAGGTATAA